GATGTTGTTTAACATCTACATGCGCCCCCTTGCCCAGATTGCCCGGAGTTGTGGGCTTGGGTGTCACCAATATGCAGATGATACCCAGCTCTATCTGATGTTGGGTGGCCAGTCGAACTCCGGCCCAGACGACCTTCACTGGGCGTTGCAAGCTGTCGCTGGTTGGCTCAGGCTGAGTCAGCTGAAACTAAACCCAGCAAAGACGGAGGTCCTGGGCCTGAGTCCGGTCGGTTCGGGGTTGGGGCTCCCTCTCCTGACCTTCAATGGGGCTTTGGTGCTAGCATCGGAGGTTAGGAGTTTGGGTGTACTCCTGGACCCCTCCCTAACGATGGAGGCCCAAGTGGGAGCCACTGCTAAGTCGGCCTTTTACCATCTTCGGCTGGCGCGACAGTTGGTTCTCTTCCTTGACCGCGATGACCTGGCCACAGTGATCCATGCGACAGTCACCTCGAGGCTAGACTACTGTAATGCTCTCTACATGGGGCTGCCTTTGTCGCAAATCCGGAAGCTGCAACTAGTGCAGAATGCTGTGGCCAAGCTGTTGATTGGTCTCTCTAGGTGGGACCATATCAGGGCTGTGCTGAAAGCGCTGCACTGGCTGCCAATAGCATACCGGGTTCACTTCAAAGTGCTGGTTCTTACCTTTAAAGCCCTATATGGCCAGGGTCTGGTGTACCTGAGGGACCGCCTTTCCCCATATATTCCCCCAAGGGCACTACAGTCGGGGACTCAACATCTCCCAGTAACCCCAAGCCCCAAAGATACCAAACTAGTTGCAACCAGGGCCAGGGCTTTTTCGGTGGCAGCTCCTACCTGGCGGAATGAGCTTCCAGAGGAGATCCGGGCCCTGCGGGACCCTGCACAGTTCCACAGGGCTTGTAAGACAGAACTCTTCTGCCAGGCTTTTGAGTAGGAGCCGCCACCACCACTGTACCATCATCGCACCACCACCACCAACTGGAGTGGGTAACATTGGGGAGCGAGATGGCCCTGGGACGAAGAATGGATGTCAGTGCTGTCTGGAACGTACTTTGTTGTTCTGGGACCATCTTTACCAGAACCCCATCTTGTTATTAAGGACTTTTGTGACAACTAGAGCACCTGCACTTTATTGTATAAATGATTGTTTTATTCTGTTTTAGATCTTTTAATACGTGCCTCATTTGTCAGCCGCCCTGAGCTCGTTCTGGGGAGGGCAGATTATAAATCCAATAATAAACAAAGCTCAGTGCATCCACCTTAAGCCAGCAATATGCTCTTGGTTTAACCTACCTAACAAGATTGTTGTGAGGATAAAGGCAGTGGGAGAAACAGAGAAGACATATACCAGCTCAAGGTCCATTGAGGAAATGGGTTAAAAATTAATGAACAAATTGATCTTTTAGATAAAGTTCAACTTTCATTTAAAAAATACACCCATCCCCAGAGCTGCAGAAATATGAAGCACTGGGGAAATTTCAGAAGTTAATGGGAGCTTATCAGGCTTTCCAAGCACTATGCATAGTTCTATGTCCTATTATGTAGCAGGAGACATCTCTTTGCACAATTTGAACTCTAAACATCACAAGAAGACCCAGAGCTGTAACTGGATCAAGTCAATGCAATGCCCTGGGGTAAAGTGCAGTTCAGAAGGCCTCAGATGATGACACAGTAGTGAGTTCTACCCCATTCCACCCCCTCACAAATTATTCTGTCCCATCTGAAAGAGCCCCACCCATCATAAATAGGATCCCACCAGCCAGCTGACATGTCCAAGAGGCTATGCAGCCGCATAACATTTATCACCATGAGCTGCTTGAAGGAAGGGTGGGATAAAAGCATAATAACTAGACAGATTCATCAGTCTTGCAATCCCAATAACTGGCTGTGAACTACCATTGCCATCTAGAAAATATAGTTGCCCAGTGATCAGTTTTACCAGCTGTCTTCTGTTGACTACTAAGGTGACTACTGGGCAAATAATTACATACTTACCATTCATGGGCATTTCATCAATCTGGGTAGAATAGTACTGCTCAATGTCTCGCAGAATACGAATGTCATCGTTCTTTACAAAGTTGATGGCAACACCTTTCCGGCCATAGCGACCTGATCTACCAATCCTGGAGAGACAAAAGAACAACACAGGGTCTGTGAGGACAGCAGAAATCACCACTGAAGGCACCCGGTCATACAAGGCTGAATTTCTCCGCTCTCTTCTGTAACAGTGGCAGTACCAGCTACTGATAAGACACATTATGTACTTTTAAAAACCTGAAACACTTTGTATTTTAAATGCTCAAAGTGTGACCTAAGCAATGGCTTTTAAAAAACCCTGCACTTTTAAATGTTTCTCACCAGGTGTTCAGGTTCGGGATGGATTTCGTTCTTTTCATCCCAGGCGAAAAAATGCATCTCAGCAAAAGATATATATATATTTTCAGTATCTCCCTTTCCCACCCACTTTCTTAAACTTACCTGTGTATATACAATTCTCTGTTGTTGGGTAGATCATAGTTAATAATTAAGGACACCTGAGGTACATCCAAGCCTCTGGCCCAAACATCTGTGGAAATAAGGACTCGGCTGCAAAAAGGAAAAAAAGGAAACATGCTGAATTTCAGTTAAGACTGAAACCTCCTGGAGTTAAGAGTGAGAGGCTGAGCAGCTATGCAAGGCCTCCCTTTATATGACACAGAAACTGGACAGGTCAGGTATGAGACACCACACTCTCATATTTTTGTCCGCATAAGTTTATCGCAGACATAGGTCTTGAACAAGGGGTGAACTGAGCTTTTCAGTGATGGTTTCTCACCTTTCCATTCCAAATAGCACAACCCACAATAGACATGATTCTGAGAGAGCAACAATTTGTTTCATGAAATTATGGACCTAATGAACGGGAGGGAAACACAGCTCCAGACTGCAAAGCCCTGAAGACAACTGCCTCAAAAGCACAAGAGTTACCACCCTCAGACCTTCTCACGAGAAATTTCTAGGGACTTAGTGTGATCTCAAGACCATTCCAACCTCCTCTTCGCCTCCTAGATAATGCCAGAATAAGATGCATGGTGCATCAGAAATATGGTGGTGTGTTTTGAACAAGACTCCAGGAGACCTGCCTTCTGCTTGTGCAGCACTGTGCTCCAATGCAGACAACTGTCCACTGAGGAGTGTGTACCTCTAGTGTGAGACATTTTTCACAGACACAAAACTAGAAGCCCGCACAAACAGAAAGTGCCTGTTGCCAGAAGAATGCACTCCACAAAAAGGCTGTTCTGTAGCAAAGAATGGTACTGTGCAAGTGGAAGGAAGGTACAGGATCTAAGCCCTGATGAGTACTTTCTGTTACAGCTCATGAGGAGACCCAAACCAGATATGCAGTATCAGAGAAAAAAAGCAGTGACTTACCTTGCCCCTGATCTGAATTCTTTCATAATGGATTCCCTCTCCTTCTGGGGCATGTCACCATGCATTGATGAAACAGTGAAGTTAGCTTCTCTCATCTTCTCAGTTAGCCAGTCAACCTTAGTCAAAAAGAAGCCAGGCTTAGTTTTGCACAGCAACTGAAGCAATGCAGAAAAGTTAATGTTCTTTTCTAATGAGCCTGGTTGTCTAATGCTATCCTTGTTATCTCCAGAAATTACTCACAGCTTTACAGGACTACATACAGCAACTTGTTGACATACCTTCCTTTTGGTATTACAGAAGATGACTGCCTGTGTGATAGTGAGAGTGTCGTATAGGTCGCACAAGGTATCAAATTTCCATTCCTCTCTTTCCACAGCCACAAAAAACTGTTTGATTCCTTCAAGAGTCAACTCATCACTGAAAAAGGAAAGGGGGGGGGGATCACATTTTGAAGCAGACTTTTCTGTTATTTGTAAGATATTGCTTTTGTGGCTATTTATTATTGCAGATGTTTTCTCCAAAACTGTCTATTCAGATCTAACATTTAAACAACCAACACAGTTGACCATTTAAACCAAACCAAACAGTGTTCAGTTTGAAAGTTCTAATGTCAATTCAAAGAAGATCATGAACAGTGAATCATGAAATTGCTGGATCAAATCCCACCTTGAACTCATTTACTCGTCTTTGGAAAGCCAGTATTCTCTGTCCCTATCTGCAAAATGGGGATAAAAATACTGATCTACTTCATAATGCGAGGGCAATATTACTGAGGAAAAACATATTAATAGGAAAAAGGAAGCAAATAAAACAAGAATTAAGAAGTGCTCTGTTTTAACTCAGGTAAGCCATAACAACAGACAGAGATAGTCCTGCAGTTGAAACTCTAGAAATCACTAACCGTTTCACCAGGATGCGGATGGGGTCAGTCATGAATTTGTTGGTCATCTCCAAGATCTCATGTGGCAAAGTGGCACTGATCAGAACCACCTGTGTTGCTGGGGGAAGGTATCTGTACACATCATAGATCTGTTCTTTAAAACCTAGCCAAGACAAAGGAACCATAGGATGAGCCTCTGAGGAAAGGAACTAAGAATCTTGTACCTTGCTGATTTGAATCACAGAAAGACATCTGTCACTACAAAGAACTCGCTGCAAAAACTGTTCCAAGTTTGCGTCATCCATTTTTAAAGCAAGAATTTGTACTGAAAGTTTAACAATGCTTCATGACAGTCTGAGTCATTTGGACATGAAGTTGGCCTGCCCAGTCTGTTCTTACACCTGGCAACACGTGTGGACATAGTATACCTTAGAGAAAACTGTACTAGTTTTAGAAGCTGCAGGTTTTCCCGCTTCAGAATGTGAGTGTAGAAAGCTAAAAGAAGGCACTGACTATCACCTGTGATTATCTCTTCTCACCATTCTAAAGAGACTATCCACCCAAATCCATTAAAAACGTTCAGCGTTTGTAATGGTGGTATGGGGAAAAGATATAGGGCATAAGATAGATGCTGAAAGTTGGGGAAAAACATGGAAGTCGATAACGTTTATGAGAAGTGTCAACTACAAAGAAAATATTTATAAAATTTATCATAGGTGGTACTGGTCACCAGATAAGATAGCTAAATGTAACCCAACACTTTCTAGGAACTGCTGGAAATGTGGAAACAACATAGGTACATTTTATCATATGTGGTGGCGATGTACAAAAATACAGGGTTTTTGGAGGATGGTGCAGAAAACAATTCAAGAAATATCTAGGATTAAAATAGTGTTATCCCCTGAAGTAGTACTGTTAAACATGTTACCAGAGAGTTATGGATGGAATTATAAATATTTGATAATTTATATATTGACGTCTGCAAGGATTTTGTTAGCCAAATTTTGGAAGCAAGAATATATACCGAAACTGGATAACCTAGTTGATAGGTTACTAGAGATAGCAGAGATGGATAAGCTAAGTTTAATCCTTCAAGGAAAGGATGAAAAAGTATTTATGGAAAGATGGAAGCATCTGTATAAATGGATTAATGTAGATGAATAAGACTCCATAAGTGAATTTGATGAAGTATGTAATATGGATGTATGTTTTTAATATGAAAATGAAAATAAACTCATTTTTAAAAAAACGTTCAGCGTGGAGCTTCAGTTGAAGACAACGCTTAGCTTCTTGAAACACTTCCAGCTTCCCCACTGAATATGTATTTGTGACCCTGCCCAGCAATGTTTCATCTAAGCTCCAGTGTTGTGAGCAAAAATTCTACCTTGTGAGCAAAAAAACCCTAGTAGCATTAAAGTTGTGAGTATACATTCGACTATCACACAAATTAGTTTTTAAGAACATTACTTCCATAACCTTGTAAAAATCTCAGAATAGATTATTTTAAATTATATTTTAAGAATAATATAAACATTATAAGAAAAAACAATCAACCTGCCCAAACCACTTATTTATTCAAATATTTATATCCCACTTTTCCCTGTGACTCAAGGCAGCCTACAAATCACACTGAAAAGCATAACAGGGGTGTGCAAAAAAAATCTTTTCCCCAGCTCCACTGTAGACAATGGGGACTATTATAGTCAATTGGCCCTATAGACTATAATGGAGAATCGATCTGGGAGTATCTGGGGCTCGGGGGGGGGCTGTTTTTTGCAGCAGAGGCACCAAATTTGCAGCTGGTGCCTCTCCTCAAAAAAAAAACCCTCCCAAGTTTCAAAAAGATTGGACTAGGGGGTCCAATTCTATGGGCCCCAAAAGGAGATGCCCCCATCCTCCAATGTTTCCAATGGAGAAAAAAAAATCTTCTGAGCAGCTCTCAACCCTTGAGCTGCCTCTAAGCACAGCTTAGAGGGAACTGTGCTGCCTAGTTCTTGTAACTAAAAAGTCATTTTGACTGCCGTACTGCATTCATCATACAGTCTATTTACAATTTCTTAAGAGTAACACAAGATTTCTTGTAAATCAGTCCTCATTCAACGTTTCCAGGTATTTGTGCAGGAGCACAGATATCTGTGTGCCCACAATATTCACTTTAGGAAAACAAATTTCCGTAAATCCAAACTATAAAAGAAGCTGACATACATGCCTACATATATCTACAGTTCACAACATGACTTGAACAGAGAACTGGACAAGTTATTGAAGCAAAAGGAATTGTCCACCTGCCCTGGGCAGGTGTTTAAATGCAGAACTGACATATACTGCTTCAGTAACTAAACCATATATTTCAGAAGCTTCCTATTATAAATAAAGTCTTAACTGGCAGTACAGTATGGTCAGCTTTGCAGATAAAGACATTTCTTACCTTTATTCAGCATCTCATCAGCTTCATCCAGAACTAACATTTTGATAGCACGAGTCCTTAGACTTCTCCGACGAATCATATCTGAAAGATTTTTAGCTTTTGTCAAGAAACAGTAATGTAGAAGAATGGCTGAGAGTCTCTTCTTGATTTCCAGGATGATGGTCCAGAGGAACAAGGAGAGTTATGTCTCAAAATGGGACCACACTAGAAATGGGGGTGGGTTGGGTGAAGGACTGATTTCTCAGACACAAAAATGACAGCCGCTTGACTTTAATATTTACTTCCCAAGAGCCTGTTCAACATCATATCTGTCTTATGGTACAAGTACAGAAATGTAGAGTCCTGGGTAAAAGACTACTGCTGATGAGTCTTCGTGTCAGAAACCTCTCGCAAAAGACAAACGTAACATTAATTCCTATATTTTTTCAACAAGATAGCTGAAAAGGAAAAAGAGCTTCACAATTTCTTCACTTTTCCGGGTAAATGTACTCAGAATAATAATTATTTTACAAAATGTGGATTTCCCTCCCTCTGAAGCAAGGTGATTAAACACCTCAGAGGACTCCTTGATATTAACAGAGACCACTCAGGCATCCTCTCTTTTGTATGGGGGTATCTATCTGATGAGTAGCAATAAGTTATACACTTCAAGACTCCATACAAGGAGTCATCTCTGATCTGCTGAGCACCCTAAATGAAAAGTGTTCACTCAGTCAGAAATAGAGCCCCAAGGAAAATATGAGGACAACAGAGAGGTTTCTGCAGCATCTTATCACACAGTGTACTGAGAAGTACAAATAGCTGATGGGGGACTAGCTAGAAGGAAAGCCAAGATCAGTGCTGGAAAGGCAGAACGCAATGAAATTGTTAGCCTTTCTTCCTAGCTGGCTGGCATCTCTCTCAGATGGGATATGAGATGCAGGAACTTGTGTGGCTTCTATGCCATCAGCTGTGGTCATCCCTGGCCTGAAGCAAAAGAAAAGGTCCTTCAACATGTGATTTTAAACTACCAACAAATGCAGAATAAAAGAAGAGATGGTGGAAGTAAAAGGACCATGGCTGTGGTTCCCAGTCTAGCAACGAAACTGAGGAATAAAATGTTTGGTGTAGTGGTTAACTCTAATCTCTAATCTGGGAGAACCGGGTTTGATTCCCCACTCCTCCACTTGCACCTGGCTGGATGACCTTGGGCAAGCCGTAGCTCTGATAAGAGCTGTTCTTGAAAAACAGCAGTTTCTGTCAGAGCTCTCTCAGCCCCACCTACCTCACAGGGTGTCTGTTGTGGGGAGGGGAAGGGAAAGGAGTTTGCAAGCTGCTCTGAGACACCTTTGGGTAGTGAAGGGCGGGGTATACATCCAAACTCTTCTTCTTCTATCTTAAATATGAAGCAGATAAAATTCTAAACTAATTATTAGTTTATATGCATTAGTTTATTTTGCATAACAGTTTTCTTACCAAATACACGCCCTGGTGTGCCAGCAACCACATGCTGTCCATAATCCAGTTTTCGGATGTCCTCACCAACATTGGTTCCCCCAATACAAGCATGACACTGGACATTCATGTAGTCACCAAGAGCAAGAAGCCCCTGCAAGAACAAGTGCACAAATCAGAAGCTTCTATATAACATGAAATATAATCAAACCAAGATCCTTAACTAAACTCTGCCAACCCCCAACATGCCTGAAGGTATGTGAGAGAGGAGACAGACACCACTATGTGCAAATATATCCTTCTTCCTTCTGTCCTTCTGACGTAGCTGCCTCTGTACTTTTAACACAACAGCAACTAAAAGAGGCTATGCTCTATGAAGGGAACTAATTATGTACTGGATTGTGGTATATAGGCAGGCAATGAACTGTCAGAGTTGAAGTCAGGGAAGACCATTGGCACTGTCCTAAATATGCTTACACACAAACCAGTTTGTTGGGAGGACTGTATAACAGATCTGCAGTAGCCTTATGGCATCCACAGAACAGAAAAGCCTCAATCTAGTGCTGCAGCTTGGGAGCCAGACAGCAGCTTGATTTGACTGAGCTGCTGCTTTCTTGCAAAACTATCACAGGGACCCAAAGTGCCATACCATTCCACTTCTACAAAGGATTTCTAGGTGCTACAACAAATCCAGCATTCTTCCACTCCTGATAAGATTTGTCTTCCATGAAAGAGAATCTAGCATGGTATCAGGTAGAATGAGGCATCAACAATTCTAGAAGTACAGAAGCATCAGCATTTCTAATTTTTATTAGTTGCTGTAGATTTTCCGTGTTGTGTGGCCGTGGTCTTGTAGAACCTGACGTTTCGCCTGTAGCTAAGACTGGCATCCTCAGAGGTATAACACAGAAAGATGGAGTACTTTCTGTGTCAAGGTGAGAAGAAAAATGGTAGGCAGGTAATTTATATCTACTCCAGGAGGTGGGGTAGGGCTGAGTCATTATCTACCCCACCTTCTGGAGTAGATATAAATTACCTACCTACCATTTTTCTTCTCACCTTGACAGAGAGAGTACTCCATCTTTCTGTGTTATACCTCTGAGGATGCCAGTCACAGCTACTGGAGAAACAGCAGGTTCTACAATGCCAAGATCACGGCCACACAACACGGAAAATCTACAGCAACTAATGAACTCCAGCCGTGAAAGCCTTCAACAACATATTTCTAATTTTGTTAAGATATATTTACATAATTAGGAAAACGGCAAGAGGGCAAATCATTTAACAAATAGTGTCATTTCACTTTTTGGAAAGCATTTTAACAGAAAAGTTTAGAAGACACAGAACATACACTTACCTTCTGAATCTGTACGGCCAATTCCCTAGTAGGTGCCAAAATCAACGCTTGGGTTTCACGAACCTGATTAAAATAATGAGGTACAGTGAACAGAACATGCATCATTCCCTCAATATGTATTCTAGACCTAAAGTGTTCCAGGGTTAAGAACAGCTTAGTCTTCAAATATGTGGAATGAAATCAAGTATTTGAAGGTTCATAAAGGTAACAGTGTTCCGTGCGCCTTGGTGTTTAGTCATGCCAGGCACATGACCACGGAAACGTCTTCGGACAGCGCTGGCTCTTCGGCTTTGAAACGGAGATGAGCACCGCTCCCTAGAATCAGATTTGACTAGCTTTCAAGCAAGGGAAACTTTTACCTTTACATGAAGAAAAGATCAGGTATTTATATTCAAAAGTTACCTGGATGTCCAGACACTGTAGAACAGAGATGGAAAATGTTGCTGTCTTGCCTGTTCCAGACTGTGATCTAGAAAGAAAACATAGTATTTTAAGAACTGTACCTGAATAAACAGCTGAACACATTAATAGATGTCATCTAACCAGGGACAGAGGCTGCATGCAGAAAGTTCCAGGTTCAACCCCCAGTGTCTCCAAATAAAGTATCTCAGGCAGCAGATGCTGAGAAAGCCCCTTCTCTGCCAAAAGATCCTGGAGAACTGTTATCAATCAGCGAAGATAACAACAAACAAGACAGATTAATGGTTTGATTTGGCATAAACAGAGATGTGACACACTGCTTCTTTGGGGTCTACTAAAATTAGTTTGTCAATGGTTTTTGGTGGAGCTGTATTTTTTCTGTAAGTACACACTACATTAAGTTTAGTTTTTCACGTACTATTCCAACAGTTTCCTCATAAAAATTTGAATATAATGCTGAAACCATGTTTAATTTTACACTCTAATACATGCTGGAAATTAAATATTTGATCAGGAAAAAACATAGAATACTTTAAAATTACTAAATGTGTCAAAATAAATATTCTAACTTAGATCATGTTCTATTTAGAGCACCAGTAATTTTTCAAACATTTTTCAAAATTCAAAGTTTTCCATAAAACCCACGTGATTAGACATAAGGCAGCTTCATGTGCCCATATTGACAGGAATAAGATTTTCTGACTAAATACCATTACACTTTAAACAATCAAACTGACAATGTATCCTATTTTTATTTATTGACAAGTGTATAGCAAATAACTATACTAACATTTCCAAACCGTGTTCAAAAATAATTTAAGCTTAACTGCAAGATCACATATGGATAGTGTGCTTCATTCTGCCTCCTGGGTGTCAGTGTGCACTTACACAGATTATACTTAATATTCAAAAGTAAATTCCTCCAATTTATCTCAAAGTACATTTTCACTTACTGCGCAATCACATCTCTCCCTTTGATGATCTGTTTGATTGCTCTTTGCTGGATAGCTGAAGGCTTCTCAAAACCTGGAACATTAATACAAATTTGTTATAAATACCGTAACAAACCAAAACCTTAAAAATGAAACATGTCGTTGATTAATAAGTAGTTACTATACAGGAAGTACCTTGGCTAGATAATCAGATGATGACCCTAAACCAGTGGTGGCGAACCTATGGCACGGGTGCCAGAGGCAGCACTCAGAGCCCTCTCTGTGGGCACGCGAGCTGTCACCCCAGCACTTGCTTCGGAGGTGGGTGGAAGTGACTGGCAAGCAGGCAGGCTGGGCTGAGGGCAGAAGTAGGCAATGGCAGCTGCCTTAGAAGTGATACGCGGGAGGGGAAGGCACCGCCGTCTTGTGGACAATGTCTGGTGGCCCCTTAGATGCTGAGGCGCTGCTGCCGGGCTTCGGGAAGCGGATCCTGGTGACCAGCAGCACCGGGTTCATGTAAGGGAGAAGACCGGGAAGGCGAGGCGCTGGGGTGGTTATGTCTGCGCCAGCAGCCTGGCGTAGTGGGAAACGTACCGCTGCTGGCCCTTTAACAGGGTGGCTTCCTGGGATGTGCCGTGGAAGGGGCAAGGGTGTTCTTGTCCGGGTTGTAGGGAGCCCTGTTCTTCCTTGTGACTCATAGAATGTTAGTGCTGGGAAACCGTGGTAAGAGGAGGGGGGAAGTGTGTGTGGTAGAGCTGCTAACCTCTAGGTGGGGCCAGGTGATCTCCTGAATTACATCCTGCCTCCAGGTGACAGGTCAGTTTTCCTGGAGGAAATGGTGTTTTTTGGGAGGTTTTTTTATACCCTACTGAGCGTTTCTGCACTACACAGGATCCCCTCTCCCCAAATCTGCAGGTACTTTGCAACCTGGAGTTGGCAACCCAGACAGGGGGTAATGTTTGATTTTAGAAATCTCTGCCAGGAATATTCCCCTTCAGTCCACAACCCCTCTGCTCTGGTTCTCACCCATTCAAGAGAGCACTTAGTGTGGGGAGAATATAGTGTTGCCAGCTCTGGGATAACAAATACCTGGAGATTTTGGGGTGGAGCCTGAGGATGGTCGGGTTTGGGAGGCGAGGGATTTCAGTGGGGTATAATGCCATACAGTCTACTGTTCAAAGCAGCCATTTTCTCCAGGTGAACTGATCTGTCACCTGGAGATCGGCAACCCTAAAAGAATAGGCTGCCTTGCTTCACGCTGCTGATGGTGGTGGGTTCCTGGTTCGAATGTTGATTTTGCCTCAGTATTCAGGTTAAATTGCCGTGTTGTCACTTTGTGATAAATAAGTGGGTTTTGGGTCGCAGTTTGGGCACTCGGTCTCTAAAAGGTTCGCCATCACTGCCCTAAACATTCGCAGCTCATATAACACTACTTCGCCCAGGGCCCTCCCCATACCCGCGCGTACCGTAGGCGTAGATGCCGCGCAGCAGGTCCTCGCGCAGGCCCATAGTGTCGAAGGTGGGGGTGACGTCCACCTCTTCGCTCGTCTCGAACTCCACCTTGGTCATGTCCTCCTCCTTCAACAGCCGTTTCCGGGCCGAGCCCGTCGCGCCGCCCGTAGCCCCCGACATCCTGCTAAGCCGACCCTTGAGTTTCGACTACGCCACCGGACCACTCGAATCCCGCCTCTCCTCAACAGCGTCCCTCGCTCAAACGTGCTGAGAAGACAAGGGCCTGTAACGCACCCCGCGCCCGGCGACAAACACACTGCGCGTGCGCATTAGCCCCTGTTCCGACGCTTCTTCATTGACGTACATGCTGACGCGTCAATGAAGACCACGAAACGTTAGTTCCGTCTCTCATAAGGCGGTGTTGTGATGGAAGGTGGCGCATGCGCTGTTGCTGGCGCGCGTGTTTCCTCACCTCTTTTGTGGGGATCGGGGTCCTTAGGGCTGGGTGACGTCCATGTTATAATTATTAGGCCAGTGGTGGGATCAGGGATGGCGACCTCGCCGTGGGACACCCCCCCCCCCAATTACAGCTCGTCTTCAAACTACAGAGATCAGTTCCCCTGGAGAAAATGGATGCTTCGGAGGGTGGGCTCTGTGGCGTTGTACCCCAATGAGGCCCCTGTCCTGCCCAGGCTCCATCCCCAAATCTCCAGGATTTTCCCATCTAGGGATCTGGCAACCCTAGATGGGGTGGAGTTATGCTGCTAAGCCTGTTGACCGGAAAGGCTGTAACTCTGTTTAGGGTGGCACTGCTAAGGGCATAGTGTCACAGAGAAAGATCTGAAAAACTTCCCCAAAACTTGCTTTACAGTCTGACCTACCTCATTTAAACAATGTTTGTAAGACCTTTGTTTCGGAAGGTCCCTGAGGAGAAACAAGTTTCGCAGGTACACAGTTTTCTGAGAGCACATTCACTGGAAATGAAGGATAGCCCTTTCAGACTGAAGCCTATGGTCTGTTAGTGTTGGGCTTAACTGCTACAATCGGATACACACCCCAATCTACTCCCATGTACCTTAATTTGGAAATGAATCTCATTTTGTTAAGGGAACATTCCATAAATAAACGTATTGGATTGCAGGCTCTGTTGTAGAAAACCGTGGCACTTATGGCAGAGATTTGTAAGCTTACAGTAAGGTGGGGGGAATGTTTGCAGGTATTCTGGGTGGAATTTGTACTACCTTGTACATAACATGTGCATCAGGGTCCTGAGGCGAAGTCAACCTACTGTATTCAGAAGTTGTTCCCATTTATTTTAATAGAAATTCATTTGGGAGTAGGGAAGCAGATTGCAATTTTACAGCCCTGCTTGTGTGCATAGGCAGTCATGCCTAAACTAATTTAAATCAATGGGATGAAGCATTCCTGGATAGGATTGTGCTATTACTTGAAATAAAAGTACATTGAAACCCAAGTGTAGTGATAGCTGTTTTACAACCTGATCTTATGTAATGTTAGCTGTATCTATTTTTGTGAAAGATTGCAGCTGTAGAAGCTTGGATCAACTTTTATTTAGGAGGTTAGTTTTATGCTAAAGATGCTCCTCACCCACAATCCTTTCCTCAGTGTGATAATTTCCCCACTCACTGCTGTGTTTGGGATTGTGTGAATGTAATGTGTGAACTAGTATTACAATTATGCCTGTTGCAATTTTTTGTCATTGTATTTTATTTTATTTTTTAGAATTGATGGGGAAATAGAAATTGCCTCAGCTCTATCAAACAGCAGGGGAATGTTTCCTATCAGGAAATGTTGATGTATATGATACTGTTAGTTGTTATGGTGCCAGACTCCTTTTGCTACAACAGACTAATCATGGCTGCGGTCACACGGAACATTAGCCATGCGAGTCAGACGGAAGACATGCGGGTTTTCCAGGCGCGATCTCACCGGCACATCTGGGAAGTGTAGCACTCCCGTGGCTCAAACGAGGCTTCCTGCCGAAACCACGCGGCAAAAAACTAGTACCTCCGAGGTACTAGTTTACGGAAACCGCGGGGCAAGGGCGGGCGTCTGATCGCGTTTCCGGTGGCATCCGGCGCCCGCCCATGTTCCCTGGCGAAAAAGTTTTTTTTTCTTCATGTCTTTGTGGATGCGCAAAAGCACACAACGGAGCATGCGCAGTCATGGTGTAAACAAAAAAAACCTTCCTGTTTGCCGCACCGCGCACTTCGTTTTTGCGCGCCGGGATTGTCCTGCCATCGGCACCTCTCCTTTCCCACGGAACCTCCACAGTACCTCCACGGGAGGTCTGATCAGGTAACCGCGCCTTAGTTTGCCCCGGGGCAAACTGCCACACTTCCCCCCCGCAGTTTCCTGCCCGTGTGACCGGGACCAAAGCTACCTTTGTAAATTAGGACTGAGTAGTTTCATGAGTGCTGCAGTGGGGCTGCTTACTGCAGTTGGAGTTGGGAGAGATGAAACTTAGTGTGAACAGGAAATGGGAAGGTGAAGCTGTGCATATAGGAACCAGGCTGGTATATCCAAAGAGATTTTTTTTTGTCTGAAAATTTCAACGGATTGGATAATCTTCCATTATAATAGGGCCTGATTTTTGAAATGCTCTCTATGTTAAAGTTTCACCACAGAAAGAAAACAAGAACAGCAGGCAAAGAGAGGTGGCAGAAGCTTTCTCTCTGTTGTGCAGTGCTAGCGTTCTGTTCGCATTCAAAACTGGAATCCATCCTCTGCAATACTATTCCACCGCCACAGTATTCTAACATCACATTGACAAGGCAAAAAGCTTCCTCTTAGGACTTGGCAGATCGTGTTTAAACTGTTCAACCTGTGGAAAGCAGCAATGCATGCTTAGTTTGCATGCCAGAGCTCTGTAGCTCTTGTGAATACTGTGCTGATATGCAATCTAATTTCAAGCATTCAGTTTGCACAGGTTGCAGCACAGTTTAAATGAGATCACAATGAGACCTATGAATCTTTTGAATTTAATAGTGTTTTGCTTTCACCATTCTTTGTAACATCCCCCCCCCCCATTTTCTGTTGTGTGTGTTATTGGTCTAATGGATTTACACTCCTATGCATCTGGAGATGTGAGCACTGACTCAGGATTGCTTCTACTGGAATAAATTTTGCCAGTGTTTAAGGTGCCTTTGGATTCCTGTTTTCTTACATTGTGACACTTCTTTTGCTTTGCCAGTCTCTCATTTAAATCAGGCCTTACTTTTCATTGTTGATGTAGAATTGGATTTGATATTCTGTCAAACTTAGGTATGCATGTAGGACAAAGTCTACATGGTCATAGATGGTCTCACAGATTGGACTCAAAGGTTTGCTATTGGAAACCAGTTATCATCATATGGCATTCCACAAGGCGCAATTCTATCACCCATGTTTTTCAATCTCTATGGAAAGCCCTGGGGACAGATCATTTGGGGTTAGGGTTGTCATCAATATGCAGATGATACTCAGCTCTATATATCCTTATCTAAGTCTCCTGGTGATGTGGTAGTGGTCCTAAATCACTGCTTTGCTGTTGTGGTAAATTGGCTAAGCGAACAAATCAAAATGAAACATTGAAAAGACAGAGGTAATGCTGGTTGGGAAGGTGGAGATCTTGAAGGACATTGCACTTCCTACTTTTGATGGAGTTCAGTTGACCCTTGCTGACTCAGTTAAGAGCCTTGTGGTTATACTGGATCCAGCATTATTGCTGGAGAAGCAAGTTAATACAGATGAAAAAAAGGCTTTCTCCCAACTCAGCCTAGCCTGAAAGATGGCCGCTTACCTTGATATGGCTGATATGGCTACTTGGATCCATGCCACAGTAGCAGCAAGGTTAGACGACTGCAGTGTACTGGATATTGGTCTTCCTTCAAAATCAATTTGGAAATTTCCAATTAGTGCAGAACACTGCAGCTCATCTGTTATTGGGAACTAGATGGAGCATCTATATTACTTCCATTCTACAGTCCGTCCACTGGCTGTCCATTTGTTACTGGGCTCAGTTTAAGGTATTGGCTATCACATACCATGACCTTCATGGCTTTGGACCATCATATCTGTGAGACCACCTCCATAACAGCTTCACTCATCTGAGCAAGGTCTTCTGCAAGTGCCAACTTGCAAATGGGCAAAATCAACAATTGCCCATACATAATGTCTTCCCTGTTGTGGCCACCACCTTATGAAATGGCCCGCTTGAGGATGACAGGGAAGCTCCCACTCTCCCAGCTTTCTGCAAACTAATGAATCAAAAAGTTATTTGGATAAATCATTAGGGACTCATCCATAAGCGCTCATCCATAAAATGAAAAAAAAACTTATATTCGCGCATGTGCAGAAGCAGTAGGGCGAATCACAGCTTTTGTTTGACAGTTCCATAGAGCACCATGATTTCACTCACATAACTGTATTAATTCGCCTGCGCTGTCCAGTCCTATATAAAAACTTTTCCCGCTCTAATCTGACAATCGCACTGAGGGAGCAACATGGATTCTCATGAGCAGTGTCTGGTGACGCTTCTGACAGCTCAGATCTGCACTTTCTTGCCCCTCCAGAGAGCTAAGAGCTCTAAAGTCTCCTCACAGTGCCAGGAGACCCCTCTAATGCCAGCCATAATTGCAAAGTGTCACTTTCCTGCCAAAAGCATGCCCTGACGTGAACATGAAAAATGAGTTCCGACACAAGACAGATGGCTGTGCTAACTACCCTGTTTCCCCGAAAATAAGACCTACCTCGAAAATAAGCCCTAGCAGGATTTCTATGCATTTGTGGTATAAGCCCTAGTGTGTCTTCTTGAGAAAAAATAAGTAGAAGACAGTGTCTTATTTTCGGGGAAACACGGTAGGTACTATTTCCACTTAAATCCAAGTGCTGTAACAGAACACTTCCCTTTAAAAATTTGACCCTTAGGGTGCAAGGAGAAGAGTTTAAGCTATTGGCCTATGCAGATGATATTGTTTTTATAATGGAAGACCCATTATCGACAGTTACCCATTTATTGGAAACGGTACAAGAATATGGTGATATGGCGGGATTAAAAATGAACCTGAAAAAAATAATAATAACAAATAATTGCTCATCTAGCATGATAGAAGAAATTCCAGTTTCCAGTTTTAATTTATTGCCTTAGCCATTGGCCATAACAACACAAAATAAAGCAAAATGCAACAAACATTATACGTCAAAATGGGATAAACCCTTCAATAACTTTCAGTAAGTCCTAGACGCAATCTTATCTTTTTTGCCACCAGTGCAAACAAGGCCATTTCTGCTGGTAACATGGGCATCAATATCAGATAGCAAGAAGACAGTCAAATCCTGGTCTGAAATTCTATTATGCAATGGTACAATAGGATAAATAAACCTTTGCCTAAGTGATTTGTGCCATGAACATCTCAGGATGTAATGCTCGACATCATCCACTTCGCCCACACCACATTGGCATATTCTAGAGGCAGCAGGGGCACCCAGAAAGCGGTCAAAACAAACCATTGAAGGTATGGCGTGGAACCTTAGTGTAGTGATAGAAGAAATTCAAAAACTAACAGAAGCTGAGATAGTGAAAAAAATTAAATACCTAAGAATAACATTATCTAATAGAAATAGTACTCTCATAGAAGATAATTATTATAAGCTATTGGAAGAAATTAGATTAGATCTACAACATTGGGAAGACATTCAGCTATCGCTAATGGGTAGAATAGAGACCATTAAAATGAATATACTACCAAAATTCTTATTTTTAGCCCAAAATATACCGATTTTTAAAAGTGCACAATTCTTTATAGATATGGATAAAATAATTAAAAAATGTATCTGGTACCCCAAACGAGCAAGAATTAAATGGAAAACACTGCAAGACAGGAAGGAAAGGGGAGGATTTGGGCTACCAAATTGGAAGCTATACTACCAGGCAGCGGCTTTAAGTTGGCTAAAGGATTGGATTTGTTTTGAAAATATTAGAAATTTAAAACTGGAAGGACATGATCTAAGCATGGGATGGCATGCGTATGTGTGGTATGGGAATGATAAAATACATTATAATTTCAGACACCATATTATAAGAGGAGCGCTAGTGCAGGTATGGAGTGAGATCAAAGAGAGACACTATACAAAAATACTGAGATGGGTATCCCCACTGGAGGCATTTATCAAACCCTCCCTCATTAATGCATGCAATAGATAAAGTTACGATACTTTATTAGATAAGAATAATAAATTAAAATCTAATGAGAGTTTATCAGCCCTATATAAGATCAAACTGACCTGGTGGGAAGCAATACAATTACAATCTAGATATTCCAAAGATGTGATAATAGGGTTTGAAGATACTAAAACCCAGTTGGACAAAATCTGGCTATCAACAAGCGATAAGATGATACTGAAGATATATAGTGTGCTGTTAGCAGAATATATGCAAGAAGTTAATCCAATAATGACAACGTGGTCGAAGGATATAGGTTACAATATAGGTATAGATAAATGGGCAAATACCTGGAAATCAGTAAAATATATGAGAAGCATTAATTATAAGGAAAACATATATAAAGTTTATCATTGGTGATACTGGTCACCAGATAAGATAGGCTAAAGGATTGGATTTGTTTTGAAAATATTAGAAATTTAAAACTGGAAGGACATGATCTAAGCATGGGATGGCATGCGTATGTGTGGTATGGGAATGATAAAATACATTATAATTTCAGACACCATATTATAAGAGGAGCACTAGGTATAGATAAATGGGCAAATACCTGGAAATCAGTAAAATATATGAGAAGCATTAATTATAAGGAAAACATATATAAAGTTTATCATTGGTGATACTGGTCACCAGATAAGATAGCTAAATGTAATCCATTGTTATCAAAAACTGTTGGAAATGTAAAAATAATGTCGGAACCTTTTTTCACATGTGGTGGCGGTGTGATAAGATGTGTAAATATTGGAAGATGATACAAAATATCATTACAGAAATAACAAAGATTAAAATGTTACCGGAAACTGTTCTGCTAAACATGATACCAGAAAATTATAAGTGGAAGGATAAATATTTGATAAGTTATATACTTACAACTGCTAGAATTTTGCTTGCTAAATATTGGAAACAAGATCGACTACCTACACGGGATGAAACAGCATGTAGATTACCGGAAATGGCGGAGATGGATAAATTAAGTCTAATACTCCAAGAGAAAGAGGACGATATTTTTGTGGAAAGATGGAAGCGTATGATTGGATTAATTTAAAGTGGGAACTATAGACTCCAATGTATAGAAGAATAAAATATATAAGTGACTGTATAAATATGAAAAAATGAAAATAAAATTATTTTTTAAAAATTTGACCCAAAACTGGCCTCTGTGAGATCCCCAAATAACCCAAATGCTGAAACGAGTGAACGTTTAAGCGTTGGTTTTAGAAACGTGGGAGCGGAGCTCCGCTTATGTTCATACCACCAACACACACAAAAAATGGTGGATGAAAAGCTGAAGCCTTGGGCTTCCGCAGCAGCTTTCGAGCAGGGAGGGCATTTAAGCACCCGGAAGTGGCTTGACACCACAACAGAGGAGTGATCAGACATCGGAAACTGTGGCTTGGAAACAGACAACTTGGAAAGTACCAGAGGGGTCCTGGTAACAAAATAATCCAGTTTCAGGAGGGATTAGAGCCAGAAACCAACTACTTGAAGATGGGAGGCAGATGTTGCTGTGTGATCGTGCATTTAAAATCTGTTATTGAACAGTGATGACAACTGATTAAACAGCGTGTCTGAACGCACCCTGACAGTAAAATCCAGTTGGAAAGTGGATTGAAAGTGGATTATTTAGTGTGTGTGATCACAGCCATGCTTTACTTCAGTTCTTAAGTGTTTCAGAGGACCTAAGGCTAACAATAGATGCCCCCTTTACATATCTAGAGTGTGAAGGAAGCCCTTAAATGTTATTAGATGAAATCAGCTGTGTTGAGCTGCAGTTTTATTGACTCCAGTGAACTCCTTTGGACTTCTTTCCACATGTTCAGGATGACACTGCACCATGCCAAAGGCCAGTTGTGCTCATTAGGCGGTGTTTGGTTCAGCTAGAGCCTTTTGTTTGGTTTGGCTTTCCCAGCCCTGCAGGCACCTGGCTGCGATCATGCTGACTACAGCTGACTCCTCCAAACCAGCAGAGGATGCCAGCAGCTGATGGAGACGGACTTGAAAGGAGCCTGGGAGGAGCGAGAGAGAGGCACGCGATGAGCTCAACTCGCCCCTTGTGGTGCAGTCCCGCCGAGAGCGAGGTACCTACTCGGGCGGGGGCGGGGGCGGGGGCGGACTCGTCGGATCCCGGAGTGGGGAAGGGGAAGCCGGGCGAGGGGTCGCAAGGGAGAGCCGCCTGCTGCGAGCCTTACTGCTTGACTAGCACGGAGGGAGCTCGTCAGGGGAGGAGTCGCCGGCGCTGGAGGGGAGAATCCGGGCGCGCGGGTATTGGCTGGGAGACACAAAGGGGAGTTACGGACGGGAGGCAAGTTTCCCTGGAGGTGCCTTGGAAGGAGAGATGCGGCGGCTGCTCTGGGAATAGAAGAAACGCCAGTAGAAACAGGCGGGAGGAGAGAGAAAAAGAGAGGTGAGTGCAGCTGCTGAGGTTGGGTTTAGCGGTTCCGAAGGGGCCCTTTAATATAGCTCTCTTCAGTTCCTTATGTGTTGTATTTTCAGGAACAGCAAACTTGTTGAGCGTTTGGTTTTGGTGAGAGTGCAGGAATCCCCCCGCCGCTGCAGCAGGGGGACCTTAATGCGCGCTTGTCTTTTGTTTAACCAAGGAAACTGCTCTTGTTCATCTTAATTTCAGGCAGCTTAAATCAAACAGAACCCTGCAGCCCCTTAACACCTACTTCTTCATGTCTTCTTTAAAAGCTTCATCGGCCTAGTGGCTCTTAATTCTAGTTTCTTATTTTATTTTGCCTATGACGTTAACTCTTCTTTTCAGCTGAAACGTTGTATTTCTTTCAATCTACCTTTGTAGCATTGTGTGTCTTGTGATATCTGGATGCCTGCTCTTAAAAACAACCAGATGCAGTGCATATCTGTCCTATAAATCTTTTGAAACTCATGTAACCGATTAATGTGTTTACAGTGCAGGAAGTGTTGGTAGTTGCCTGTCCAGTTTCTTTTGTTGAAAAAATGTTTGCCAATACCACCCACCTCTCACATCAGTTCTAATTTAAAATTGCATGGTCTGTCCTATATAGGTTATAGCCTACCACCATAAGGAACAAAAATAAGAGACTCTAATCCACAAACCTTTGACGCTGGAGTTCTTGAAACTTAAATATGTGCTTAACCCTCCCCCAACCCTGAGTTCCTACCTACAGATACATACTTGGCTTCCATGCCCCATTTGTCAAAGATGGGAAGAGATTACGCTAGGAGATCCAAGAGGCAGCTGCTAGCTATTCATATTGATGAATAAATGCTGTTTCTTTACTCTTCCAGCCTTTCCATAATTGGGAGTAAATTCATTCATTTGTTACATTTATGTCTTATTGTACCTCCAAGAAGCTTCGAGTAGGATTTTAGCCTTGCAGTAAGTCAAGAAGCAAACGGTCACAACCTCCTTAAGTGTAATTAAGAAAAAATAAAGTTAAGGTGACAGAGCTCAACCTTATCTGAGGCAGAAAGCCATGCTTGTTAGTTGAGGTAAAGGAAAGGAGTGGGTAGCCTCATTTTAAGATTCTCTTCAAAAAATGAAAATTGGAACACCAGTAAAGCTTGAGGAGGCAGTAACTAGATCCTCGGGGGAAGATGTTACTCTTTTTCTGAGCATCTTTTAAAATTATGTTGCCGTTGATGTTTGCATGCTTACTTTTCACAACTGTTTTTGCATTTTCAAAACCATTCAAGCATCTTTGAGACTTTTATTTGCTGAGAAACAGGATAAAAGTACAATAAACATTTCTATAGGAGCTGAGAACTTTCTGTCAGTACATGTATGGAGCTGGCCAAGTTTGTGAATGAGATAGGATGGATGCATTTAGAACCTAAATTGAAGGTTAAGGAGGAAGATTGTGCGTCCTTTGCTCTTTTGTGCCTTTGTAAGGAGGAGGCTTGTACAGTTTTGGATTCCACTTCTTAAATTTTGCTGATTTTTGGTATCATTCCTCAAAAGCCTTGGGAAGCAGTCAGTGAGGAGGTATCTCTACAACAGTGCTTCTTAACGTGGCAATCTGCCGTTCTTGGAGGGCATGCAGAACACTGGGGAGCATTGGGGATTTTAGGCACCCACCCTTCCCTGGATGGCAATGGCATCTGACAAGAAGTACTGCTTATCCTACCCTAAGGGTTGAATCCCAGATTCCAAATGGCACACAGCAAGTAATGAAACCTAACATTGTGGATGTACCACTACTTATACTTTAATAAAAAACTAACAATAAAAAAAAAATCTGTGCTTTAAATTATAAGCTAATTTATGTGTAGGAGCTAATTTTAAGTTTCCTCTTATTCATCGTGGTGGTTGGGAACTTTGCTAAGTCTTGCCTTGGTCTATGACAATATTAATAAAGACTTTGATCTGTAGATCATATGCGTATAATAATGTACTGATATATTTAAATACAGCTGCTTTTTTGTGTTTTATATCTTTTTTTAAAAAGGCGAAAGATTTATGCGATCTGAAGAGAAACCAGAGTTTCCGGTTATTGTAATTTATTTTTTTAAGGTTTTATATTGCTGGCTATGCGCTGTAACAATAAAATTCATTCATTCATTCTCTTTTAAAAACTTGCTATGAGCTAGTTTGCCACCTGTGACTACCTCCTAGTCAAGTCTTCCCTTTGAGCTGTTTGTTCAGCCCTAGCATGGGCTGGCTTCTCTTGGTGTTGAAACGCTCTGCCCAAGTAGGTGTGGAGGGCCCTTATACAGCCCTCCGTCTATAAGGAATGCAAGGGCATTCTTTTGAGGTGGTTGTTTTGGGACTAATTAATCTGGAAGGGGGTATTTTGAGGGAAAGCTGTACAGCTGTGTGCTTTTTGTATGTTGTCTGTGTGGGTTATGGTTTTTTGAAAGCCATCGTGAGCCACCATGAGCAGTTGAAAAGGTGTGTAACACTTTTGCTCTTTTCTGTGAGACCCCACCAAATTGAAGAGGGGGGCATTCAATGATTATATGTGCTTATGTGACAGTAGTGAAAATGTTAAGAACCACTGATCTCTAAAAATGTAAGCAATGTGAAATTTATGACCAGTATTTGAAGTGCATCAGCCATTTAATCCTCCTAGCTCTATGTTTGGTCAGATTATAAATGCTGGTTCATTATATAATAGACTGTTGTATTTTCAGAGTCTATAGAAGCTTGTGGGAGAACTGATAATGCTAGCTAATATCCTAATTCCTCTTTTCCATGGCTGAAACCAAACAAGATAAAGTGGTGTTTTGTAAGGCAGCTGGGTCTCTCTGCAATAAGGAACTGACCCTTGCTGATGAGACAGATCTGGGTAAAAGTCTCTCAGGAGCAGCACAGAGGCTGTTCTACAAGGTGAACTAATTAAAATAAGATAAGGTAGTTATTATTGCTGACCTCTTAAATGTGGTTGTCCGTAATAGAAAGATGATAATGAACAACTGAATATTAGAAGAGGAGGAGGAGATTGGATTTATACCCCGCCCTTCACTACCCATGGGAGTCTCAGAGCAGCTTACAAACTCCTTTCCCTTCCCCTCCCCACAACAGACACCCTGTGAGGTAGGTGGGGCTGAGAGAGCTCTGACAGAAACTGCTCTTTTTCAAGAACAGCTCTGACAGAACTATGGCTTGCCCAAGGTCACCCAGCAGGTGCGAGTGGAGGAGTGGGGGAATCACACCCGGT